TTTTTCCCTTCCCCAAGGTCGTTCCTTCTCCAAGGTCGTTCCTCCTCCTCCTCCAAAGTTTTTCATTTATAACTTAAGAATGCGTCCTCTGATTGGTTTAAAATTTTCCGTGCCGATGAAGTTTAATTACGTAAAAGGGTCATGGAATTACTGAGGTGGACAAGGGACCTTTTCTCTTTGTTTTAGACCATTCCCTGTTTCTGTTTTTATGCAACAGCTTGAAAAAGCACCTTCAGATCGGCTTCAAACTTTCAACAGTGATGTATGCTGAAGAGAGGTGGGATTGTTGTTAGAGTATATAGGTGCCATTTTTGAACATTTTATTATTAAAATGGTATGTCTTATCAGAACAACTTCGATCTTAATGGCTGACGCATCTTTTGTAAAGGATGGCATTTTCGGGGGTTCATGCTCTGTAGGAATAAATTTGTCAAATTAAAAACTTGGTTAATAAACTCGGAATTGTTGGATTCTACACAATAACTGAAGAATACATCTTTTGGTCGACTTTCAAACTTTTAGTGCTGGTGTTGTCTTGAAGGAAGCTTCGCAATGATTTTGTATTGTATAGAAATTAATTTCCCAATATTAAGCAAACTGGTATAATCGGATAATGCCTTTTCTGACCGGCTTCAAACCTTAAAACGAGGATTTATATTAGAGAAAGGGTTGAATTAATATTGGGTTGCCCTATGTGCCAATTTTCCAGTTTTATTGAAATTGGGAATGCTGAAATAATATTTTTAATATAATTGATGAATGTCTCATCAGCTTCCAATCTTCAACGTTGATAACTTAGGAGTTTAACTTGTGAGCGGCTTCAGTCTTACAGTGCTGGTGTATTTTGTGATGTTAGTCTGTGTTATAAGAGTGCCTTATAGGTTTTGATGTCAAGCTTTCAAAGCTAGTACATCTTAGTATAAGGTTAGAATTGATTTTTGGTTGTGTAGGGACTAAGGTGCTAATTTTATTGACAATAAGAATATTAGCTTCCATGTGATAACTTGTGAATGCCTTTCCTGATTGGCTTCAACTGTTCAACGTTGATATGTAACTGCATTATAAACTTATGCTACATTTTCTCCTGTTCCTTTTGCATGCATTGAGGTAGAGGGGATTGGGCTTATGACCTACAGGGGTACCTTTCATATTGCGCAGCGTCGAAACACATTTAGTTAGGAAAGCTTTTGTTAAGCTTTTGTGAAAGTAAATGGTTGGTTAATGGGGTTTAAAGCCTATCGACTACACTAAAGCTACACCTAACCGCTCCACCACCAGACAAAAATACTGTAATCCCTAAAATCCTCTCCACCACCCGACAAAAATACTATAATCCCTAAAATATGGATTCAAATAGCCTCACGGCATACAGAAGGTGAGAAAAATACACCTCTAGATGTATATATCCTGTTGTTTATGAAGATCAGTATAATGCAAGATATCATTGATGTGACTGAGAGAAAAAATACATAACTGCATATGACCCCATAAAAGGATATTTTGTAGCCAATAAATCTGAAGAGCTTCTCTGTGAAACTCTCTCCCGAAGATCGGCTCGTGGTGGCAGTCTTTGTCGACTTAGTTTATACTACAATATCGCGTTATATTTTATCTCAGATCTATTCTTGTGGGCTAAAAAACCATCTTCCATTTTTTCTTAGTCTTCTGGACAGATCTGCACTCCAGTGTCGAGATCAATAACAGTTTCTCTTCACACTTGTTCCAGCAGAAACGGAGTTGTCCTCCGTTTCCTCTGTGTACATATATTCGTTGAGGAGAACTGGAGAAAGTGCGCTGCCCTGGAGGTTACCTGGAGGTTATTCCGGGGATCAACGCCCCCGCGGTCCGGTCCATGAGCAGGCCTCCCGATGGATCAGGGCCTGATCAACTAGGCTGTTACTGCTGGCCGCACGCAGTCCAACGTACGAGCCACAGCCCTGGCTGATCCGGCACTGACTTTAGGTATCTGTCCAGCTCTCTCTTGAAGGCAGCCAGGGGTTTATTGGCAATTCCCCTAATGCTTGATGGGAGGCTGTTGAACAGTTTTGGGCCCCGGACACTTACGTGTTTTCCCTTAGTGTACCAATGGCGCCCCCACTTTTATTGGGGGCATTTTGCATCGCCTGCCCAGTCTTTTACTTTCGTAGGGAGTGATTTCTGTGTGCAGATTTGGGAACCATTCCTTCCAAGATTTTCCAAGTGTAGATTATGATATCTCTCTCCCTCCTGCGTTCCAACGAGTACAAGTCAAGTGCCCCCAAGCGTTCCCAGTATTAAGGTGCTTCTGCGAATTCACCTGCTTTGAATTAGAGATGTTAATGTACAGCAGTATTCCAGCCTAGAGAGAACAAGTGATTTGAAAAGGATCATCATGGGCTTGGGATCTCTCGTTTTGAAGTTCTCATTATCCATCCTATATTTTCTTTGCAAGTGCGATCGTGGCAACTGTTGTGATCCTTGAAAGTGAGATCCTCAGAAATTACTACTCCAGGTCCCTTACATTATTTTCCGCTCTATTTTATGGCCGTAGTCAATAGTATACTCTGTTCTAGTTTTTTATCTCCTCCCGTTTTCCGTAACGGAGAGTTGGAATTTGTCCTCATTGAACATCATATTGTTTACCGTTGCCCACTGGAAAACCTTGTTTATATCTTCTTGGAGGTTAACCGCGTCCTCAGCAGATGACAGCCTCATGCAGATCCTAGTATCATCCGCAAAGGATGATACGGTGCTGTGGTGTATATCTCTGTCTATGTCTGATATGAGGATAAGGAATAGATGGGGGGGAGTATGTGCCTTGTGGAACAGAGCTCTTCACTATGGCAGCCTCCCATTTTTAAATCTGTTGACCACTATCTTTGTGTTCGATTTGTTAGGAAGTTGAAGATCCATCTCCCCACTTTCCCAGTTATTCCTTTTGCACGTAATTTTTTGGGCTATTTACGCCATGATCGCATTTGTCAAATGCTTTTGCAAAGTCTGTGTATATTACATCTGCATTCTGATTTTCTTCCAGTGCATCCAAGGCCATGTCATAGTGATCCAGTAGTTGTGGAGGCAGGAGCGACCTGCCCTAAACCCCTGTTGCCCTGGATTGTGCAGATTTTGGGAATCCAGGGATTTGCAATCCTACTTCTTAGCACTCTTTCAAAGATTTTTATGTGGGACGTCAGAGCTATTGGTCTTTAGTTCTTAGCTTTAAAGCTTTGCTGCCACCTTTATGGAGTGGGGCTATATCCGTTGTTTAAGGACTGTGGAAATTTCACCCATGTCCAAGCTCCTCCTCCATAGTGTACTTAGGGCACGCGAGAGGGGTTCTTGCAGTTCTTAATGAAAACAGAGTTCCACGATTCTGGGCCCGGGGCTGAGTGCATAGGCCTTTGTCAATGATTTTTTTGAAATCTATCGGAGTTAGGGTAATGTCGGAAATCCCGGCGTACATTTAGGAATTTTGGGCTCATTCTATGAAGAAATCTTTGGGTCGTCGATCCTCAAGACGATTAGTGGTTCACTAAAAAACAGAGTCGGGCTGGGATTTCAATATTTTTCATTTCCTTGTTGTATCTGTGTAAGTCCCATCCTGTCTGGTAAGCGGGCCGATACTAGATGTGGTATTTGCCTTGTTTTTGCATATGAAAAGAATATTTTTGAATTTCTTTCAATTTCACAAATAGCTTTTAAGCTCCTCCTGCCTCTCCTGGTTTCCCGTAAGAGTCAATTTAGCTTTAAATTTCAATAGTTTCCCCTTCTGGTCAGCGCCCCTTTTTTTGTTTCAGATATTCTAGCACTCCTGAGGAGCTCAGTGACCTTCGTCGTCTTCTTAGGGGAGCGTCTTTTTCTCTACAGTTTACTCCTGCTCTTCTTCTTTCTTTGGGGAATATGCCTAGAACATGCTTGGTACCAGGAAGTGATTCCTTTCAAGGCACTGTTTGGATCTATGTCATTTAAGACATCTTCCCAACATTTTTTTCGTTAGGACATGGTTTACTGGTTCCCAGTTGATTTCCTTGTTTTGGAAAATTGTATTTTGTGAAGCACCTTCCACGGTACATGCATTTGCCCGATGTATGTCTGGACTTCCGATTAGATTTGTGTCGGAATTAGTTGTTTTTGATATTCTTATGTCTTTATCAGGTTCCTTTATTATTTGTGAAGATAAGGATGTGGTGGGTTTTTTTGCAAAAGACTTAGTAGCTCATGTGTGTGTGACCTTTATCTGCGCTACCTCCGGGGATTGTTTCAGCTATAACATTATTTGCTACATTCTTCCATTTTGTATGCCTTAGGTTGAATCACCAAGCAGTAAGATGTTTGGGGAGGAGCTGGAAGGTTTTCCAAACAGTAATCAATTTTCAGTAGCTGTTCCTTGAACTGTTGTGAGGTTTCATTTTGGTGGCTTGTATACAACCACAATGACTAGGTTTTGGTTCTGATCTTTATTGATAGAACTTCAAAATACCTCATTTGTGGTGTTCAGCAACTCCGTGCAGATAGGGACTCTTGACATACAGGCCAACATCCCCTTGTTGCCTGTTTTTTCTGTCGCATCTAAAAAGGTTGTAACCACTTATCCATATTTCACGTCAAAGTGATCTTTTGTGTGAGTCTTGTGAAGGCTGCAAAAAATTGCCATTAGACTCCTCTAGAAGTCCACTGATAAAAGGTATTTTTGTTGTTGGTGGATGGCTTAAGGCCCTGTTATTAGCAAATATGAACAAGGTTGTATTCTGTGTTTGTTGGGGGGATTTTGTTATTGGCATCAGTAGTTGTAATTCTGGAGAGCCATGGGTGGCCACTGGCTGCGCCTCAGTCCAAAAGGCTCCAAGGTGGTGACTATTTTTGTTATTTCCTTCCATTTTCTTTTTTCGTTTCCCGCCACTAAAAAAATCACCTGGAGTTGGGTTGTCGTAGCTACTATTGTTTGTCTTGTGGGGTCTGTGCCTCCTGGTCCCTTTTAGATGGTATGCAGGGCACTCGATGTTGTATTATTATTATTATAATCAAAAAGAAGCGCTAAGCCACAAGGACTATACAGCACTCGATGTTGTAACACTGCTTCTGGAGGACCGAGGAGTGGCACATTTTTGGGTGAAAGAAAGTACAGAAAGAAGAACGACACACTCCTTTAGACAGGAGGTCGCTACATTTTTTGGGATGGTCAAAGTTGCATGTCCCATTTTTTCCCCTGTTATTCCATGCTTACAGATGCCCCAAGCATAATATTTGCACAAATTCACCTTTGGTTGAGAATTTTTGGGAGGTGTGTTGTCAATTTCTGCAGGTTCTGGGACTGCACTGTAATCCTCAGTATCCAAGCCAGGGCCACCCCGTCCTGGATTCCATCTACTTTCCCCAGTAGAGGAAGAAGGAGGAGACTCCTCTCCAACATCTGTACTGTGGGCCACGGTCTTGTGCAATGATGGTTGTATATTTACGGTTTTAGATGGTTGTATATTTACTGTTTTTGTGGTGGTTTTGGTAGTGTCCCTAGGAGAGTCTGGGCTGGCAGTAAGGCTGGGGGCTGGGTCTGGGTCGGCACTGGGGCTGGGGGCTGGGGCTGGGTCTGGGTCAGCGGCTGGGCCTGGGCCAGCACCAGCACTGTGGGTATTAGTGCTGTGACTGGGGGAGCCTGGGCCAGCACCAGCACTGACTGTGGGTATTAGTGCTATGACTGGGGGAGCCTGGACCAGCACCAGCACTGTGGGTATTAGTGCTATGACTGGGGGATGGGTCTGGCTTAGCACCATGTGGGTGACTAGATAGTTTCGAGTCATCTGTTGTGGTATGGACATTCTGCATTTTTTGATACACTATCTCTTGCTCCCATGTTGCAACTGGAGTTTTTTCCTCGTAGCATTCAGTGTTCAATGACACGATATTCGTTGTTACACAGTCAGTGAGTGCGAATATCCTGATGGACATAGCCAGTTGGCTCTGTTTAAAGATACGTTGACAGGAAATTTATGACATCTTCCACAGATACTGTTGTAAAAATAGTCCACATCTAGACTTATAAGTGACTTTTTTGAAGAGACTAGGTTTTTATTTTTCAATTAAGTATTATATGTGTATGAATTTTGCGTAAATCGTAAAAAAAAAAAAAAACAAGAAAGACTTGACCTCATGATATTAAGTCTGAAAAGAATTTTAGTCTTTTTTTATTTTGCTAGATTCTTAATCTCTGAAATTGGAACTGATGTTGAAGAATAAATTCTTATTCAGCTTTTCCTGTTTCCTGTCGTTCAGTAATACAAGGATAGTAGGAGTAGTGTAAGTGCCACAAGAGACGGAAAAGGGAGTGAAGGGAGGGAATATTTGTGATGTGCTGACATTTCTTAATTATAAATATTTTTTCCCCTTAGTTCAGTTTGACTATGATAAGTGTGTATAGGATCGGGCTGTCTTGTTTGAAAAGGACACAAAAGCAAACACTAGGATATTTTATTGGAAATCTTTCAATCGTTGTAACTTGGATGCTCCGAATGTCACTCCAGCAACCTGTGGGTAACACACTTTTTTTACTACTGTTTTGTTGGTATGCATAAATAACTTATTACGACTGTAACTAGATATAAGCATGTAGATAGTTCATTACCACTGTAACATGTTTAGCTGTCAAAACTCTGCAGCCAGTCCCTGAACCTATTAAATGCCTCTGTTATCTTTTGACCACCACCCATTAGATAGGTATGGAGTTCATCAGATATTAACCTAACAAACTTTTTAGTATACCTCATGGCTACGGACAGAAATCTGTATCCCTTCTAGTGGTAGGTAGTCCTTTGTAGCACAGATATTGTTCTTAGTGATTTCACAGGCTGTGAATTTATCAAAACTTGTGATGTTGTCTAATAGACGATTAGCTGTAGATTTTAAAGCTGAATTCAACCCTGTGCATATACGCATCGTGTTTCCCTACAGTGTTTACAAATTAAATATTTCCTGCAGATGACTAAAAGATGTTTACAGAAATACACACGACTGGCATAGAGCTACATACAACATATAGAGAAGTACTTACATATGACTTAATTAGCTCTTCAACATGAATAATAATAATAATAATAATAATAATAATAATAATAATAATAATAATATATAACTTACATAGACATGGTTTATGAAATGTACATATAACTTATACACATGAATTAGTAATACATATAACTTACGACATACATATGCCTTAAATAAACAGATAATGTGATATATATAAACATATAAATTACATAGATACGTATTACTTACAACAATAGAGATATGTATGGCATGGATGCTTGTGGCTTGCATTCTCACTTAACTCTCACGTAAGTTCCACGCTCCTACACCTTCCTCCCACGCCATCACAAACATCCCAAGCCCCATGGCACCACAACCCCTCCCACGCCCTCATACCCTCCTCCCACACTCCCTCATACCCTCTTTCACACGCCCTCACACATTCCCACACCCTCATACCCTCCTCCCACGCCCTTACATTCCTTTACACGCCCTCACAGTCTCTCCCACGCCGTCAAGGCCGCGTGCGAGATACACGAGGTAGGTGTTGACATCTGAGGCAGGAGCCTCCTACACTCCACAAGCTCGCTTTGTTTTCTTCTAAAACTGGATATACCAGCAGTGTGCTGTTCTGTTCTCTCTGACACCTCTACAGGGGATGGTTTCAGTTTATACTCTCACAGATGGGAGAGTGTGGGAGGGTGTGGGATTATGACAGTGTGGGGAAGGGTATTGGGAGGGTGTGGGTGTGGAAGAGTGTGGGAAGGCGTGGGAATGTGGGGATGTGGGAGGGTGTGGGTATTGGAGTGTTGGAAGGTACGGGATTGTGGGGGATGTGGGAGGGGGATACCTCTCTCAAAATCAAAATTAGTAATCCTCGTCTAGTGGAAGTGACTCTTGATCCAAGGAATTTGAACTACTCTCCTCTTTGATCCAAGTTGACAACACTGATAAAGCCACTAGATGGCGGAACGTCTACACTCAAAATACCCAGATACTGATAATAATAATAATAATTATTATTATTATTATTATTATTATAATCAAGGGGGAAGCACTAAACCCGTAGGAGTATACAGCGCCTATGGGGGGATGGAAGGCATTCAGGCTTAATTCAGGGAACTGGAGCACAGATCCAATTCCCTAGATCAAGAGCCCCTCACCAGCGTCAAGGAGCCTTCCTTGAGGGGAATAATAATAATAATAATAATAATAATAATGGGTTATACCTGTAAGTCTTGTAGAGGGAGGACCAAGCTTCCACACGGGTTTAGTGCTCCGCGTAAATCGTAAATATAATATTTGTTATGAAGAGTTATTTAACTTGACAAGCTGCATGACTCTTATCAGTCACTGACTGGTCAGTCACTCTGACTTGTCGATCAAGTCAGTGACATTGTTATTGATTTCTTTGTTTATAAAGTATTGCTTTATAAACAAAGTATTAACTTACATGATGCCAAAATAAGTATTATCGTTTCTTTCAAAGTAATTCCAGGGAGGAGTGTGAGGGAGGTAGAGAGGGAAGCTGTGAGAGGGAGGAAGAGTGGGAATGATGAAGGTGGTTTAAAGCCCTTTACCCGGCGGGTTACAGGGAGGGTGTGAGGGTCGGGGAGAGGAACGTGGCAGTTGTCTAATAAATTCATCTCTGCTTCCACAATTTATCTCTCATTTTTATCACTCGCTTTACTCTTGAGTTTTTCCCCTCCCTCTCTTCTCATTTTTGCTATTTTGTGCATGTTTACCTGTCAGTTTATGGATATCGATGTGGGGTGTGTGTGTGTGTGTGTGTGTGTGTGGTGTGTGTGTTGTGTGTGTGTGTGTGTGTGTGTGTGTTTGTGTATTTACCAGTCAGTTTATGGATGTCGGTGTGTGTGTGTATGTGTGTGTTGTTTATGGATGTTGACGTGTGTGTGTGTGTGTTTGTTATTACATTCATGGGGGCCATATAGTGCCTGAGGAATAGGCAGAAATAACGTTTGATCTAAGGAACTGAAGAATACCCCATTTCCTAGGATCAAGTGCCCTTCACTGGCATCAACGCTCCCCTGCGAAGGTTACGCATTCATAGATAAAGAGACAAAATATTGGTCATATTCTCTGGTTCCTTGATTTTTTCATACTCCAATGTTCTATAACTTAGGAACGCCTCATCCGATCAGATTCAAATTTTAACTACCAATGGTTGGTAGGAATAATACCTTTCAGGTTTAGGCGGTGTAGGGGCGAATTTAACAATATACTCACATAATAAACTTCGAGTTATTATTTATTGCATTATGTATACCGCCCTTTTTATAATCTTTATTTCTAAAAGGGTGTATGGGGGCGCCAGTAGGCCTCGGTCACCTGACCAAGACCTGACGCAGGGTATCATATGACTAGGACCTGCTTCAGGAAACATTTGTCCTGTTTCCTGGCGAATCTTACTGAATCTAACCTGTGTACTGAAAGGCTGTGAGTCTGAACGTTTCGAGTTTGTCTGTCTACAGAGTGGTAAAATGACAAGGTTAACTGGTTCAATGGTTAACAGCCTATCGACTATGAGACGATCATTAAGGCTCCGTGTCACCTGTAAATCACCAGTCTAGGATTCTTTAGTCCTAAAAGTAGGGATGTATACTCCCAGCATATAGATAATAAAGTAAACTCTTAGTGAAAGTACTCTAGGAAAGATATGTATCTCTTATATGCACTGAGAGACACTTAAGCAAACCATGATTACAAGTGATCAGTGTCCTGGGATCGAAGCATTCTCTAATGTCCTAATGTTTGCTCACGTGTTGTTGTTTATTTAAACCCCTTGTGGGAATCATTTACCAAGGTTTATAACTCGGTGTATATAATTTGAATGAGGCTGTAATATGCTGAATGCTTTACTGCGAAGAATTAAATAAACTCCCAGGAACATTCGGTAAGCACATAAAGAAGATTGTAAGCAACTGTTTTAAAGTCGACAAACATAGTTTAGTTATGTTACTGTAGGTCCACAAGGAAATATAAACAAAGTAGGAACATAAGGAGGATCGTGGGTGACCGTAACGACAGACATAGGCTGTTAAATCTGTACATAAACAAAACTGTAGATGATTACAATTGATGAATACTCAAGTGTGCCTGCAGGAATGCTAAAGAATTTAGCACCAGTAACGTGAAAGCTGGTGCCGCCGTGACCTCCCATGGGTCACCAGCTGTCCCCAGTATCCATCTGTCCACACGGGAAGGCTTAACTTCTCAAGGAGTGAGCAGCACCAGCACTGGACGGACCATCACTAACAACCGCGTCAAAACACATTTTTTTCTGACGAAAATGTAGCTGTGTGTCCCTCCGGAATCACCAGCGCGAGGCCGCTGCCTCGTGTGTACTGGCAAGAGCAGATGTGGGGAAGGCCAAGACAATGGGGGACACACGTGTCTTGCCCCCACCTCCCCCGCCTGAGTGATGGCGGGCTTCCCTGCAGACGGAGCGGGGCAGAGTATCACACGTGCAAGTAATTTCGTGCGTTGGGGTGGGTGAGAGGGAGCAGCCAGGGCGGAGTGGGAGTGGGGGGCGACGACACGTGTAGACCCCCACACCCCACCCAGCCTCTCTCTCCCCCACTACCACACTTTCTCGCCCCCGCTCATGCGCCCTCTGAAAATCGGTAACCTTTGTGTGATCCAATTTAGTCTGGCACTTGGCAACAGTGATACAACCTGAAACTCGCTCTCCATTTCGTCTACTACCTTCTAGCTGCCAGTAGCGGGTATAGAGACAGTGTTGGAGTCATCGAGGTATAGCGGGACCAAGACATCTTGAGGGAGGGGAATCAGCTCGGAGAGCGAGTACAATGAATGACGAACCTCAAGTATGCAGGCAGTGCATGCCGGAGCCAGTACGCTCAGTGCAGGGCCTAGCATCCACACAACAGCAGCCAACACGCTCGCTCTGGGGCACTTCATAAACAAGCGCACGCGCACGCACGTCACACACACACACACACACACACACACACACACACACACACACACACACACACCCCACACGCACGCACACACACACACAAACCACACACACACACACACACACACCACACACACACACACACAACCACACACTCACACACACCACACACACCACACACCACACACACTCACACACACACACACACACACACACACTCTACACACACACACACACACACCACACACACACACCACACACAAACCACACACACACACCACACACCACAACACACCACACACACCACACCAACATCACCACACCACATACACACCACATACACACCACACACACCACACACACACCACACACACACCACACACCACACACACCACACACACACACACACCACACACTCACACACACCACACACACCACACACCACACACACTCACACACACTCACACACACACACACACTCACACACACTCATACACACACCACACACACACCACACACACAAACCACACACACACACCACACACACACCACACACACACCACACACACACCACACACACACCACATACACACCACATACACATACCACACACACATACCACACACACACCACACACACCACACACACACCACACACACCACACACACACCACACACACACCACACACACACACCACACACACACACACACACACACACACACACACACACACACACACACACAACACACACACACACACACGTACTCATATACAACAGGCCTAGTGTCTAATCGACATGTGCCTAGGACAAAATGGTAACTAACACACACACATACACACACACACACACACACGCGCACACACACACACACACACACACACACACACACACCACACACACACACGTGTGCAGTAAGATAGAAAACAATGAATGTAGTACAAAGCTTGCAGCAAGGGACCAACCACGCAACATGTACCACAAGCTGATATCCTTGACATTCGCCCTAAAGTGGGGTAGATAACAGTGATGGAGTACCTGGTGAGAAACAACTTCATGGATGTCAATCAGTACGCACTTAAGGACGATAAATTATCTGACGGAGTTACCTTAGCTTTATGACTGTGTTTATTCTAGGACTCTACAACAAATATTTACACTGTAGTTTACAGAAAATTTGTCCCAATAGTAAATAATACATAAACCAAATTTATAGTTGGGGATAATAGGAAAGATATTATAATGGATTAAAGAGTGAGCTTCCATGAGGTAGTGTCAGGTGTGATGCACAACGATCAGTACTCGGGTACTGTTCCAGGTATGTGTGAATGACATGCAAGGAGAGGAAGAGCCTCATGTGCCTTGGTCTGCAGATGTGAAAATAATGAGAACAACAAGTGGAAAGATTGGTCAGTCCCTTCTATCAAGGCTAAGGGGACTGATCACTCTAATATTACCTCTCTACTTCTGTCTCCAGTGTTACATGCGCCCGTAGTCGACTGGAGAAACCTGTTGGACATGCGATACGTCTACCTACCTATCTGGAGTCTACCTGGGTGTTCCGGGGGTCAACGCCCCCCCAACAAAGTGTTTCACATGTGTCTTGTTCAACTTTATAATGATGTTAAAACGATAGATATGATAGGGCTAACTTATAAAGCATGAATAAATTCAGGTATAGTCAAGTACCTACTGAAATTCAACATCAGTTGCAAGGTTATGATATTAATGAGACTAAAAGAACCTAATCAGATGACATTTAGAAATTGAAGGGTGAGGTTAGACATGATCGTGGCGTATAAGATACATCCGTGGATAACTTGATAAGGGTGGAAGTGAATAGCGAACCTCTCGGGAAATCCCATGGTACCGGTGAAGGGTTCTTGGTCCAATGAATTTAACCTGTTGTCTCGTTGGATCGAACCTAGTTATCTTTCATTCTCTAGGTCCTATATGAGCCCTATGGTTGAAAGCTTCTGCTCCATAATAGTAATAATAATAATAATAATAATAATAATAATAAAGAGGTTAGCTAATAGTCCAAGTCGGACCGAAAAGTCATTCTCTTATGTGCGGGTTATTTGTGTAGAGTAATAATAATAGATTAAGTTAAAGATGATAACGAGTTACAAGGACATAAGAAGATATTTCTTTAGTCTAGCAACGATCAGAAAATGAAATTTACATTGTTAAAAATATTTAAAACAATAATAATACGTGTCTAGGGCCCACAAGGCTAGAAATTAATGAACCCGCTGGTGCTTGATTATGAGGAAGTTTTAAGAGCTGAAACCTGGGCCATTCAACCAAAACTTATTGCTCTCTCTCTCTCTCTCTCTCTCAAACACATTCAACAAGAGGGTTACTGGAGCTAATAAATATAAAAGTGAAAGCACTGATAGGAGGAAGTGAGCCAACAGGATAACTTTACCTATTATAATAATTATGAATCAGTAGATATAGAATCAGGGACAAGAAGAGGCCACACTTATAACATCAGAAAAGTGATGCCGAGAGAATATTAGAAAAACTTATTCACTAATAGTTAAAATGTTAGAATGGAATTCAGGAGGGAGTAATGTGGTACAACCACTGGAACATTCGTAACATTATATGATATCCTAAGTTAGCTCTGCTCCGGTAATTCTAAACAGATGAATACAATTGGGCAGTTACACACACACACACACACACACACACACACACACACACACACACACACACACACACACACACACAGGAATAATGAAAAAGCCAGGATGAGCCCATGGTTCACCCAAAGGTGCAGGGAGGCAAAAACCAAGTGTTCTAGGGAATGGAAGAAATATAGAAGGCAAAGGACCCAGGAGAATAAGGAGAGCAGTCGTAGAGCCAGAAACGAATGTGCACAGATAAGAAGGGAGGCTCAACGACAATATGAAAACGTCATAGCAGCGAAAGCCAAATCTGACCCGAAGCTGTTATACGGCCACATCAGGAGGAAAACAACAATCAAGGACCAGGTAATCAGGCTAAGGAAGGAAGGAGAGACAACAAGAAATGACCGTGAAGTATTTGAGGAACAAGAGATTCAAAGAAGTGTTCACAGAGGAGACAGAAGGGGCCCCAGAAAGACGGAGAGGTGGGACACACCACCAATTGCTGGACACAGTGCACACAACCGAGGAAGAAGTGAAGAGGCTTCTGAGTGAGCTAGATACCTCAAAGGCAATGGGGCCAGATAACATCTCCCCATGGGTCCTGAGAGAGGGAGCAGAGGCGCTGTGTGTACCCCTAACAACAATATTCAATACATCTATCGAAACATGGAGATTGCCTGAGGCATGGAAGACAGCAAATGTAGTCCCAATCTTTAAAAAAGGAGACAGACATGAAGCACTAAATTACAGACCAGTGTCACTGACATGTATAGTATGGAAAATCACGGAGAAGATTATCAGGAGGAAAATGGTGGAGCACCTAGAAAGGAACGATCTCATCAACAGCAGCCAACATGGTTTCAGGGACGGGAAATCCTGTGTCACAAACCTACTGGAGTTCTATGACATGGTGACAGCAGTAAGACAAGAGAGAGAGGGGTGAGTGGACTGCATATTCTTGGACTGCAAGAAGGCGTTTGACACAGTTCCACACAAAAGATTAGTGCAAAAACTGGAGGACCAAGCAGGGATAACAGGGAAGGCACTACAATGGATCAGGGAATACTTGTCAGGAAGACAGCAGCGAGTCATGGTACGTGGCGAGGTGTCAGAGGTGCAAGGGGTAAGTCCTAGGACCAGTGCTGTTTCTGGTATTTGTGAACGAAATGACGGAAGGAATAGACTCTGAGGTGTCCCTGTTTGCAGATGACGTGAAGTTGATGAGAAGAATTCACTCGATCGAAGACCAGGCAGAACTACAAAGGGATCTGGACAGGCTGCAGACCTGGTCCAACAATTGGCTCCTGGAGTTCAATCCCACCAAGTGCAAAGTCATGAAGATTGGGGAAGGGCAAAGAAGACTGCAGACGGAGTACAGTCTAGGGAGCCAGAGACCACAAACCTCACTCAAGGAAAAAGATTTTGGGGTGAGTATAACACCAGGCGCATCTCCTGAAGCGCACATCAACCAAATAACGGCTGCAGCATATGGGCGCCTAGCAAACCTCAGAACAGCATTCCGACACCTTAATAAGGAATCGTTCAGGACCCTGTACACCGTGTACGTTAGGCCCATATTGGAGTATGCGGCACCAGTTTGGAACCCACATCTAGCCAAGCACGTAAAGAAACTAGAGAAAGACTAGTCCCAGAGCTAAGAGGTATGTCCTACGAGGAGAGGTTAAGGGAAATCAACCTGACGACACTGGAGGACAGGAGAGATAGGGGGGACATGATAACGACATACAAAATACTGAGAGGAATTAACAAGGTGGACAAAGACAGGATGTTCCAGAGATGGGACACAGTAACAAGGGGACACAGTTGGAAGTTGAAGTCACAGATGAATCACAGGGATGTTAGGAAGTATTTCTTCAGCCACAGAGTAGTCAGTAAGTGGAATAGTTTGGGAAGCGATGTAGTGGAGGCAGGATCCATACATAGCTTTAAGCAGAGGTATGATAAAGCTCACGGTTCAGGGAGAGTGACCTAGTAGCGACCAGTGAAGAGGCGGGGCCAGGAGCTCGGACTCGACCCGTGCAACCTTAACTAGGTGAGTACAACTAGGTGAGTACACACACACACACACAAATACATGATAAAAAAAAGTCTTAAAAGTTTGCAAAAATAAAGGAACTCTCGTGAACTTGACGGTTAAAGACTAAACCAGAAGCAACATGACTGCGGCATACACTGTGAGGTATACCTGGAGAGGGTTTCGGGATGAACGCCCCCGCGGCCAGGTTTGTGACCAGGCCTCGTGGTGGATCAGTGCCTGATCAACCAGGCTGTTAATGCTGGACGC